CAGGAGATCTTGAACTTGAAACCCTAAAGTAACTCTTTTATTTTTTTAAAGAGAGAGAGAGAGAGATTTTTTCAATATTTATTTATTTATTTAGTTAGTTAGTTACTTTTCTGCGGGCACAACATCTTTGTTTGTATGTGGTGCTGAGGATCTAACCCGGGCCACACGCATGCCAGGCGAGCGTGCTACCGCTTGAGCCACATCCCCAGCCCCTAAAGTAATTTTTAATAAAGGATATTACATGTTGGTCCAAGGCAAGGGAAGAGAAGGGAGAGGGAGTGAGTCTGAGGACAATTACTAGCAATGCAGATGCAGTCATTTGAACGTCAAATATGCCATCATGGTGACACCAAGCCACCGAGGCTTAATTATTCCTTTAAAAACTACATCAGCAATGGGTTTTGATAATCACCAAAGGAATCTCCTGTGAAGATTGATGTGTGAGCTGAAGTGGGTTGCTGAGCACCTGCCAAAGGAGACAAGGAAAGAGCCACTTTCTGCCAAGACTGGCTTCCTGTGCTTCAGTCACATCGTATGACTGCTTTGGCTCCTGTCCTAATATTCAAGTGAGCTTAATTCCCAGCAATACCACATGTAAGGTGTGCAGATGCAAACTTGGAATGCTAATATAGAAAATTCAATACAGATCTTAGCAGAGTTTATGGAAAACGCAAAGCTCGTGTACAGAGCAGACGGTGGCTAAATGTCAATGCAGACTTGTGAGCGGATATGGATTGTGTACAGAGATTCGGGGCAACCTCAATTCTCTAGAATGTGATGAAAAACTTAGAATAACACAAAGACCCATGTTGAGTTGCTTCACTTTACCACACAGAGGAGATCCAAAATTCCTCACTAAAAATCAATTCATTTATAACCCAGTCACATTTCAATCAAATGATTATTAGATTCTCAAGCCACAACAGGTCGAAGCAAACTGGAAGTTAAGTAGAAATTGGAGCTTTTATATGTTACTTGCCACTAAATTTTATTAGCTACTATATATATATATATATATATATATATATATATATATATATATCCTTCTGATCATGTTTGTTGATATTCATGATCTGGGCCCCCAAAAGTCCAGAAGAAGACACAAAAATTAAAGATAACAAATAATTACATCAATATTCAAAAAGTTTGGTCCAATAATTCAAAATATAAGCAGCCTGTATATATTTGCTGAGAATACTAAAAAATGTTTGAATCCTCTCCGTTTTGTCCATGGATATTACAAAATAAAAAATATAACATATTTTACAACTTGATCACACACAGAAACACATATAGATAGAAAATGAGGGGAAATATATATCCAAATTTAAATATCCAGCCTGAAATTAAAATTGCAATATTAGGGAATAAATCTAAATATCTACAAAAAGAATTTTTGGAAAGATGAATAGTATCTAAAACGTTGTTTTCTAAGAAAGTTTTCTCTAAGAAAGTTTTCAGTATAATAGCTTCCCAAAAGCACCATAAATTTCTCCTATCATCTTCTCTTCTCTGGGACACATAGAGTACCTCCCTCACTGTTCTCCTCTAATATAGCTTTAAATCATATTGTGATATTTTGAGCAGTTATGATGCATTGAGTACAATAGCATATCACATGAATTTCTCCTACATTTAAGAAGATGTAAATAGGAATCAATATAGTTCACAATTTACACATGAAGAAATCCCTTCATTTCTTCACTGAGAACTCATTTCACATCATTTTAATAGTGGAAAGAGTAGGTGACTTGTAGTAAAGTCAGATTTGAGTTTATGTTCTATTCACTCTTTTGATAATCTTAATGAATTGCTTGTAAAATGGAACTTAAAAATAATAACAACTCATAACCTGATAATAAAAGAAAAGTATTTTGTATCTTAAAATGAACAATATGAAGCTGTTATATGTTTTAACAAATATTCAACTTCAGAAAGAATCTTAGATGAGAGAGTATGATCAAGAAAGACGAGAGAAGAAGGAACAAAGAAAAGATGGAACGAGGTGGAATGAGGGAAGAAAAGCAAATAAAGATAATAAGAAGAAAAGGAAAAAGAGACTAAGCTATTTCCTCACTTGAATGTGTATAATCATATTTTCCTGAATTATTTCTATGTGCCATCTCTTGCAGGAAGGCATTTGCTCACGGATCCTGACCCTTGCTACTCTTTGCTCATAGAGTTTCCAGACAATACTCAATGTTCAGGAAAACTAAAAGAAACTGGAGTAAAGAGGAAAGGGAGATAGGAAAACTACAATTGCTAAGTGTCAAGAGCAGTGTGTGTGTGTGTGTGTGTGTGTGTGTGTGTGTGGCAATTGAGGTGGATTTGGACACAGGGAGGCTCCTCGTCCCCTGGAAGAGCAGCATTGCAAAAAGAGGTAAGTCAAAGAGATTTTTTAAGGAAGAAATGAGCTTTCAAATTAGATCAGTTAAATGTGCTTTGGGAAGCACAGGTAAATATAAGCATTTTACTGTTTACTGCAGGATTATGATTTAATCTTATGTCATATTCAATGTGAAAATGTGAATATAAGTCAGAGTGACAAGAGGAAGATGGCAGAACAGGAGTCTGAGACCGTGAAAAGAGGAATAAATGATGGCAGCTTCATACTGCCCAATTTCAAGCAGATGGCAAAGCTATGGTAATCAAAAGATTATGGCACAGACATAAAGATAGATATGTAGCCAAGGTGTAGAATAGAGAGTCAAGAATAAATCCAGAGTGCCTATACAGCTTAATGATCTTTAATATGGGTACTCCGACTCCAGAGTGAGGAAAGGATTATCTCTTCAACAGAGGGTTTTAGAAATACTGTATATCCACATGGGACAGAATGGATTTTATTATATCCTATAATATGCAGCAGAATTAACTCAAAACTGATAATAGATCTGAAGATAAATCCCGAGTCCATAAAACTTTTAGAAGAAAACAAAAGGGAGAGAGCTTCATAACATTGAACTTGACAAATGATATTTTAGGTACAACACCAGAAGCACAGCCAAAATATAAAGCACAGATAGCAAAATGAAACTACATCAATCTAAAAAGTTTCTGCACAGCAATGTAAATATCAAGAGGGAAAATACAACCCGCAGGATGGAAGAGAATATTTGCAATCATGCATCTATAAGTGGGTAATATCCAAAATCTATTAATAACTCAAATAATTCAATAGTAAGGAGTCAAATAACCCAATGAAAAAATTGGCAAAGAATTTTAATAGGCATTTCTCAAAAGGAGAAGTACAAATTGTAACAAGTATACAAAAAATGTACAACATCACTAATCATATAGGAATCATACAAATCACAAGTAAAATCTTACCTCATTTGTGTTAGAATGACCCTGATAAACAACAGGAGAAAATAACAGAACATACCAAGCATTGGCAAGAATATAGAAAAACTTGAACCTTTCGACACTTTGTTTCATAAAGCAACTATGGAATATAATCCAGAATTTCTTTAGAATACTAAAATAGAATCACAGTGTGATTCAGTAATCTTATTTCTGAGTATTTTTCAAAATATTTAAAATCAGAATCTAAAGAGATATTTCCACCCCCATATTAATTGCAACATTATCACAACATCTAGGAGAAGGAAACAAACCAATTGTCCATTACTGCATGAATGGATAAAAACAATATGGTATATGCTTGCAGTGGAACAGTATTCCTCTTTGAAAAGGAAGAAAATATTGTCATATGCTACAAAATAATTGTATCTTGAAGACATTATGCTAATAGAAATAATACAGTCAGAAAAGGACATTCCATATGAATCCACTTAGACAAGGTATCTGAAGTTATCAAACCAACAGGATTTTCTAATCACAGAAAGTATAATGATTGTCCTGAGGAGCTAGGGATAAGGGGAAAATGAGAAGACTTTTAATAGACTGAGTTTCAGTCATGCAATATGAAAAAGTTGTAGGGATCTGCTGTAGTAAACAATACTGTACTGTACACATCAACAACACACATATTTGTTGAATACAACTTCAAAAGAGCAATTATTAAAATATCTACTTGTAAACAAAGTTTAATATGTGCACAGTAAAAAATGTTGTGAATATAAGATAGTAAAACACTGTATTTTTTCAGTATCAGTGGTCTGGATACACATACAAATCTACAAGTATGCATATGTACACATACATACAAAACATATATTTTTAGCCTTTTGATTATTTTGCTATATTTTTTTCTGGATATGTTGCAATCTTTCTTATTAAATTTGAGATCTAGAATAAACAAAATAGTTGATAGTGTATGCTGAGTGCAGAGCAATTTCTGGCTATATATTTCTCTAAACTATCCATAAGTCAGTGGTATATGTTCATGTTAAGCTTTTAGTATAGTTCCAGCACACAGTATTCCACCAAATTGAACTCCATTCCCAATCCCTTTACAAAACAGAATTTTTAAATATTGATACTGATCATTAGTTTTATAAATATCAGGCTAGAAATTTTCCTCCATTTCTCTATTTCAAGCAATTTGGGTCATCTTGCTATTATCCACCTTCATATTTACAAATGACCTTAATCTTTATTTGATTTAAATAAACCCCAACAAACATTAGTCTTCTTTTCTCAGTGGAATGAAATGTTTTCACAACATTAAGTAAATCTACCAAGTTAGAAAGCTGAGGGCATTTTAATTTCTATGACTGACAGAGCCTGTTAAAATTGGTTGTAATTGGTACTTTTCAAAAATTACATTAAAGTTTGCAAGTAATCACTAGCTCTACAAGATAACACACATTCTGTATAAATTCAGAAATTTAAAGAGATCTGTTCTATTTGGTTTTAGGGGCACTTTGGATATTAGGGATATTTTGGGTTGTCAATGAAAGTTGCTTAACATAGATGTAGCATCAGATACTAAACAGCTGAAGAAAACGCATTATAATAATCTAAACATGGAGTTTAATTCTGTTTTTAATACAAATTAAAATACTTGTGTAAGCTTTCTTTCTTTTTTTCTTCCTCACTATGCAACCTGTTTCAATGTCAGCAGCCTATGACCACAGAGGCCAGATAATGGCTCAAACTCAGTTTGCTCTGGCATGGGACTCCATGAAAGACCCAGGAGGACAGGCCTACTATAAATCCAAACCTGCTCCCAGTGCAACCTTGAAATATGCATGAACTTTTCCAGGAATGAAACCAATATATAAATCAAAGAAAGTCTTAATTCTGTTCTGTTCAGATCTTTCCAAGATTTGGTCATTATTTCCAAAAAATATACACCAGATGTAATTCATTCAGGATTTTTAATCCATTAAGACTATGGAATTGAATTTGCAATTTTTTTAATTATCACAACTCTATTTGTAGGTGGAGGCATCTGCATGATGTATTATGTTTTATACTGTGGAAGAGTTGAACCATTTACATATCAATTACAAATTTTAAAAATTACTTTCCTCTTATTATAGTTAGATACCTATTTATTTCTAATTATAAATAGTATATATATGAGGTAGATGACACTAATTACACATTTCATTAAAAGATAGCAAAGGAAGGGTTTTATAAAACACTTGCTATATAAAGCAGGTATTAGATCTCAAGGCCCTAGAGCCCTACTGAACCACTGTTCCACAGCTATCCTGAGAGGTGGAATTTGCACAGATTTATTCTGGTGTCCTAATCAAGGAACTTACCAATTCAACATTGCTCCTGACTCTGGTGTAAGTTATTGCACATATTGAATTAAACGGGTCTGGACGATATTTCTGAGAATATTTCCCTAACTCAAATCACAGTTTTATAATTGCATTCTTTCTTGATATCTCAAAACCTTTTCCTGTGGGTCCTGTTTTGTTTCATCTATTTTTATATTCACCTTTCTCCACATCAGATGGTTAGTAATATGGAGAAATAATTTCTTAAATTATGTGATCTATGTACCAAGAAATTATTTCTGAATTCTTCTGAATTCTATATTCTTGGGATGATTGTACATAAGATCATGTTTAACTACAACAGACTGTTAGCAGCTCTTGTAGATAAATGAGCATCATTAATCATTTTAGAATATTCATGTATAGTCATGAGGGTTCAAATTTGAAAGATCTATGTTAGGGTCATTCTTTATCTTGAGAAATCTAGTTATATAAGTAAAGAAATTAACTTGTAGAGGAATCAGAAGACTTTTTGCAATAAGGAGTTTGACTAGATGTTTGATGTCCAACTGGAGACAGCTTCAGAATTCCCATCTCTCCCTCTTTCCTTCTTGCTCCATCGCTGAACAAATCAGTAAAAAAGTCTATAAATTGTCCTGTTTGGTACCAGCAAGAAGTTCCTATCATATATACTGGATGTGAGTGTCCACCCAACATGAATGTCCATTTGGAACCTCAACATGTGAACATATTTGGAAATAAGGCCTTTGAAGATGTAATTACTTAAATTAAAATGAGGCCATGCTACATTAAGGTGCTCCTTTTATCCAATATGATTGGGGTCTTTATCAGAGGAGAAGATGCATAGGAACAGGGAAGAAGGTCCTATGCTGACAGAGGCAGCAGCAGCAGAAAGGCAGCTTCTACCCAAGCAAAGACAAGGATCAAAGGAACTAGGAGAGAGGAACAGAGAAGTGCTTCTCTCAGGCCTTTACAAGGAACCAACTCCACTGGCACCATGATTTCCCTCTTCTGAATCATAGAATAATGACAGAAGAAGTTTCTGTGTTTTAAAGTCATGTAATTTGTGCTAACTTTTAAGAACTCTAAAGATACTAGTGTGCCATAAAACCCTGGCTGGTTCCTGGGAACCCTCACCCTAGCCCTATATGCAATACAATTCAAGCCTTGATTGTTCTTTCAAGCCAGTTTTGGACTGGCTTAAGATATTGTGTAATTACCCCAAGAAAAATCTCATTATATGAATAATAGATTTCTTCCTTCTGTCTCAGTGTGTGTGTGGCACATCATCCTTAGTACCTGAACCACTTTTTGGTTGTATACTTTTTATATCTTCTAAGTCAGATGTGTCACTGTATGACTCCCTGGGTTTTAGAAAACTAGGTACCATTTTGGGATATCTATTTTTCACCTATACATAGGAGAATTGAACATTATTAGGGTCCTGACTGTTATAACTCCCAATTCCCAGATCCACGATCACTATCTCCATTAGATCATTGCACTACTCCCAATTAACTGAATGGATTCTCATTTTGCTTGTCAACTGAGTATCTTAGAAAGCTATTCTTAGTAGCTGGTATATATCTAAACATCTATGAAAATTGTGCATATCACTAGAAGTTTTTTTACTCACCTTTTGGCTATTCTTTTCTTCTGATTTAGTTTATATTCCCCAAAATCCAGTAAGTGGATTTTATTTTCCCTACTGTTTTCTTCTTAATGTGGATGACCTAATATCTCACTTGGACCCTCTGACTAATACTATTATTATTATTTTCTTCCAAGTTACTATGTAGAAATGTGCATTTTTTTAGGATAGATAATCCCCCCCTTCTGTCATAGTTCAGTAATTCCTTATCTCATCTTGGCTTCCTTAAACACATTTTCTCCATTTTGTGGGACAAAGCACTGGAGGATGCACAGAAAGAGTCAGAATGACTTTATTCAACTCTTCAGGCAGTGCTTTTTGTTTTTATTCATTACAAGTGGTTTACATTTTATTTAAAAATCACACCAACACATGAAAAAGTGCATTATGTAAAAAATACAAGTTTAAAGGAAAACATACATGAAGGTAAAAAGCCACACTGGGAGCTGAGCTGATTCTGTTCATCAACTGTGCTCTTCAGAGCTGAGCTACAAGTCTGGCCTCCAGATCCTGCAATCTGCTTTTGCATTTAAAGGTAATGACAGGAGTTTCTCTATATGATGTCCTCAATGCCTTCTTTCCCATGTTATATTGCTCCTAAAAGCATCAGCAATTGGGTTGTTGCTAGGGAAAACAATAAGTAGTGGACAAATTTTAATAAAAAAAAATAGTAAGTCAAGGACTCGTGGGTTCTCCTTTCCATTTCTCCCGCTCAACAGCCTTAAGTCTGTCAATAAACCTCTCAGAGCCACTATTGATTCTATAACAGGAGAAAGGTAGACTACAAAATACTCTAAGACCCTTTACAGCTTTCTGAATGTCTTTGATTTAATTGCTGTTATATTGGGATCATTGAGAGATTGCATGTAATAAAAATACCTTCTGCTCAAAGCTGATTTTCATTGTGGAGTATGAAATAGTATGTTGCAGCTACAAACAAAACAATAAAGAAGTGTGAATATGTTTTTGTCACTTATTCTGGGCTAAAAGGAATTCCGTCTTGAGGCAGCTCCATTCAAGCTGCTACTTATTATGTATGCAGTTAACAATGTGTATTTAAGACAGAACAATATTGTCATCCTCTGTTATGCATGGAGCATTTAGCAAATATCTTCAGTCATTAAAGTTTGTATTAAAGAATCCTAACCCTACATAACTTTCTCTTTTCATTGGTGGAAGAATACAATAAAATCTGAGACTTTGAACTTTTAAAAAATGGGAAGATATAACAATATCCTCAACAATATTTATCCGCAATTTGTAGTTGTCTCTGAGAGAATTCTATGTCTAGGTGACCTTACGCTGCCTGGGCTTTACAGGTCTGCTTTTTTGGATGAGAAAAAAAAAAAAGTCTGGAGAGTATGTATACCACCAAATTTAATTAAACAAAAAAAACCTGAAGCCATAATTCTTACATCTTTCTTCTTTCCCCTTCTTTCAGTTGCCCCTTATGTTCTTTATAAATCAGAACAATGTATTTGTAGACTGTTTGCTCTCTTTTTTGTTTTCTTCATTCTATTGGAAACCAAGCATAACCAGAGTGATCCTGTTATTTTACAAATATGATCATTTTTTGTAGTTAGATTCGTTTAATGTTTCTATTTTTATCATGAAGATAGCAGGTATACTTTCTAATACGACATTTCATAGAAAGTTAAGCTTCAGAAAAAGACAGTTTAGAAAATATTGAGGTATACAATTCTTTATCTCCATTTTAAGTTCAAATGATTACCATAATGTCACTTTAAGAATAAGGAAACTATTTGACCCTGTATTTTTATGTGCTTAATTATCCAGACATGAAAATAAATATCTTTTTTTATATTGATTTTTCTTTCCAGTTTCTCAGATTCTAGCATAAGTTAAAGTATCATTATTTTTAGAATCTGCCATCTTTGTTCACAGCGGCCCTAAGCTGCTGCTGCTGCTGCTCCTCCTCCTCCTCGTCCTCCTCCTCCTCCTCCTCCTCCTCTTCCTCCTCCTCCTCCTTCTCCTTCTTTTTGGTACAGGAGAGTGAACCCAGGAATACTTTACCACTGACCTAAGGAACCCAGTGAGACAGGGTCTCACTAAATTGCTGAGTTTGACCTTGAACTTGTGATCTTCCTGCCTGACCCTCCAGAGTCATTGGTATTACAGGCATGGCAAAGCTTAGTTTCTCATTGACAAAATTAATTTCTTCTGGTAGTTGAAGGTTATATGAATGCTCCATACACTCACAAATCCTACTGAGGTGCCACAGTGTTCCAGTGATGTCTTGGCTACTTGATAATGAGGGGAGCATGGGCAGCACACAAGTGTTGATTGTAAGTCACTTCTGCACAGGAAGTACATGGGAATGCATTTCTTCCTTAGGGGTTCTGCTTTCCAATGATGGCACTGGAGCCTTCCTTCTTTCTTAACAGAGAGAATCAAAACTGATTTATGATAGCCCCCAACATAAATTAAAAACAAATGCCTCAAAATGGTAAACAGTTGTATGAAATGAGAATTAGTTTTTGTTTGTTTCTAAACTACATATGTGTGTATGTGTGTGTATATAGAGATAGAGGGAGAGAAGAACCCTGCCAGCAAGGAACAGATAGATATTGGTCTTCTGCATTTTAGTACATCAAAGCCACTGGAATTCTCAAATGTGAATACACTTTCATCCAATGATGAAGTACATATACTAATATGTTTGGTCAAGGGTTCCCACTTTTATTCAAAAGTTAGGAGCGTGTTCTCTGATTACACAGCTTCCAAAAACCTATTCTGCATCAATGGATTTATTTTTAACCATATTTAGTAATGTACAGGGAGTTATAAATGTAGTTAAGGG